ACGGTTGGATGCACTGAAGGTCACGAATTCGTGATCGGCTAACACCGGTCAAAGGCTGCTTCAAAATAGTATTAGTTGAAGCAAGCGATGAATCGAAGCAAGGCCTCAGTGATGGCATGGGTGGCGTGTTGGGTACAGAACCTGTCAAAATTGTATCTTCAAGAATTTGCAGCATCTGTTCTTCACCAACGGTTTCCAAAGAATCCAGAACTTTCGCCCTGTAACATAGTATGATTATAACTAAGTAAATTAAAAATGGAACATAATGAAAATTATAACAAAACTCAAACGATTCACTTTCAGTCCATACAGGTATAGGCAAATTACCGTAATGGACGATAAAACAAATGTATGCACATTTGCATTCATGTGGAGTCATAAAATATACGCATTCGTCTTCTGACATCACGACGGAGTCGATCTTATGGCAAGTCGCTCCGTCTGAAGGCTTTAATGCATGTCATGGTGGTACAGAAACAAAATATTACCAACAGATTGAATATCCAGATATACTTAGATTTTTTAACCGGTTCATTCGCTTGGCCAATCTACTGAGGGCCTATTATTTGTGAAGCGGGATTTTGGCTTCCACCGTGCATTAAAGTCACGTATGACTACCAAAAGGTCATGAAAAAGACTTGTAGGTGTCCATACAATTTTCCATCTGTTTTTGGCACATTTTCCTGAATGAACCTGAATGTTAATAACATTAGCTAAGACTGCTATCTGACTAATGAATGGGTATCATGTGGTAGTTTGCAGAGTTGTTGACGAGCAGTGAGTTTATAGCTTTGTTATTTATCCAGAAAATATGGCCTTAATTCAGTGCGTTCTGTTCCAGCGGCCCATTTCAGTCGTGTGAACTTCAGACAGCCTTATAACGGCCATTAACTAGCAAAAATTAAGATTGCAATAAACTGTCATTTTCTGAGCTGGGATAAACTTAGTTCAGTGTTCTGATGCTATGCACTTTACCGCATTCAGTAAATGAATCGCTTGCAAATGCACAAGCCCTCAACCGCGTACTGTCAGTGACTGTTACACTGAGTTTTATATTCAGTAAATTGGTTTATTACTGACTATAGGCCGTGATTTTTTCGCTACTTAACGCAAAAAAGGAACTGAAATAGTGACTATGGCTTACTCAATAGGCATAATCACTGCTGCCACAAATCTCTCTCATGTTCTCAGAGTTCAGATCATACACAGCTTATGCCGAAAATAAAATAATAAATTAGGAGGCGTCTTCCGATATCGTCGAGGATGCTATAGACTGCTGACATCGAAATATAACCGTGGAAATGAGAGAGTGCCAAGTGAGTACTTACCATTGCTCTTGGCAAGAGGCGACTTCTGGCAAATACTGCAACTTTCCATCACTATACTGCATCAGTTGACCGTCTGAAAATTTGATTTGAGTTCCAAAACGCTGAAACCGATCATTGCCTCTGCATTCTGCATTGTCAGGCGAGTCTTGCACGCAGCCGTCCATTGCATGATTTAACTGCAACCGGAGCTCTTCCACTAAAATGGAAAATTAGAGCAGTGAATTTACAACCACTGACACACAATGCTCGTTTCTATCAACCAAACTGAACCACCCACTGAAAAAATACTTTATGAAACTTATTATAAAAAAAGTTTAAAGGGTACACTTACGTTTCACAATCAGATTTCAAATGTCTACGAAATTCTATGACTGAAACTGACGCAAGACAAATTAGTACGATTCATTCAAGGATATTATAACCGTCACTTGTCTGTTTAGCCGACAAAGACTGTTAAAATCAGCTATCAAAATCAGAGTATCTATTCACTTTCAATGATTTTTCATCCATTACAAGCATAGCACTAATTGTGTAACAAAAATTACACATTCAAATTTAACCAACCAGTGATACAATTTCCGGCAGATTAACATTAGTATTTAAAGAAATAAAAAAAGTTACTTTAGAACTTAGATCGAGCACCCCTCGACTAACATGACCAGAACTCACAAGGGGCGTACAATATTGTAACACTTAATAGTGTTTACAATTATGGATCCCCTAGAGAGAAAATGAATTCACTCGATGTACTGACTTGCACGAACATTCTCCGTCGTCGCTGAACCGCCTGAAGACTTGGAGTTGGTCGAGTTCCGGTTCGAATTGCTGAAACTTTGGCGAAGGTCCAGCATCGGTGATTCATCGAGCGATTCAACAGCGCTATCGACGCTCTGAACAGGGGTGCACAGCTTATCACCTGTCACCTAATTTCAAGTCGATCATTCACAAAATAAGAAATAGACAATGTTTCACTTACGTTTTCATATTTATACCCGCATTCCAATAAATGATGGCTCAGGGCCTCGGAACCTATAGGTACATAGTAGCAGAAACGCGGGTGATCAAAAACGAAGTGGGCCACTTTCAACGTAATGATATCAGCGGACTGCTGCAATAGTTCAATAGCTTCAGACACGCGCTTCCCTTTTAGAGAATGACCGTTAATAGCCAACAAGCGGTCGCCTACATGCAGGGCACCAGTCCTACATTGTGAAATGTAGTTCCAGTTATTCTATGAAAAATAATTACTTTTCAGCAAGACCACCTAGAGCCAACTGCGATATGAATATGGGAGTGTTCCGTTCGTCTGTTCCGGCAATGGTTATTCCGAGTTGTCCACCTTTACGATTGAGCTCTATTGAATAGACCACGGTTTGACCGAAAGAACCATCTTCTTCCAAAGAAGAGTTCTTTTTTACTCGCAACTTTACAATATCCGACGAGCGTTGAAGAAGCCTGACAGCCTCTTCTACAGTGCACGTGTCTAATGGTATGTTGTCGATGGAAATCAGCTGGTCGCCAGGAAATATGGAACCGCAGCTAAAAAAGCACCGTTAAACAAGCAGTGTAAAAACTTATGAGTAACCGGTGAGCAACACTTCCAATTCGGACGTCGCTGACGACAACCGGTTCGCCTTTGTGACCTGAAGTGTTGCTTGAGATTATAACTCCAAGATTTTGCTTTCGTTTTGCAAGCTTCACTGTGAAAATACCACTGTTGGGTAAAACAGATTCTAAAACATTTTTCTGAAGAAAAACGGTGAAAACAAATGTTTATCTGTACCAATGACGTCAAACTCCACAACAAGAACGACGGCGCCGTTCAGCCGCTTCAGCAAGTTATTTGCTTCGTCGCTTGTCCCAGCATTAGTTGTGTAATCATTAATGGCCAGCACTCGATCCCCGACCTGCAGCACCTCAGATCTAAATGGTCGAAAGTCAGTGAGACAATCGATTCACTGTATAACTTGCTGCACTCTGAACTGCTTCAGATGAGTGCCACAGACGGTCAGATCAATGTAAAGGGCAGAAAGCATAAGAAGAATTATAGCCTTTAAATTTTATTTTACAGACAGAATTAGGCTTTTGCCATTATATTCATTTTCATTTAACAGATAAAATAACCGAGTGAAGATTAACAAAAATACAAAGAACAAAAAACTATCGATCTATGATCATACGCCAGGACGTTACAGCTTCAAGAAAAAAGAACTAGAATCAGACAAAACTGTTGTTAGATGGGAGTGTAGAAATAGACTGCATGTGTATGGCTGATAAGATAAGCATTCAGCCGCATTTTGTATGATCCAAACTGATAGTCATCGTTAATTAGAAATACCACTTCCTTACCTTCATGTCAATGCTTTTAGCTTTTTAGTTAAGATGTTCCGATTAGCGTCGAAGATACAATATCTCTGAATTAACTGGTGTACCTCTTAATATATTAATAAATATTGCAAAATAATTCAAGTGACAAGATTCAAAGGTCAGCATCCCGTTTACTCTATGTCATTTTAATGGCTTACCGCAAACTGAGAAATAGCATAATTTAGTGAATCAAATGATAGACATTTCAGTCAGAGTCCATGGACTTTTCACAAGGCTATCGTCAATCCTCTGGTTGCCCACCTTTTGCACTGACTTTACTTCTTGGATGGGGTAAGGAGGTTACGATATCCTCACGTTTCTTGTCCCAATTTGTCAGCGTCTTTTGCTTTGGACAATGTCTGATGTGAGTATAAGCCAATCACTGTGCAATGTTTGGCTTGCAGTTTGTCGGTAGATACGTCCATCTTCGTATCAGACAGCTCGTCTCTGAAGCTATCTAACCAAGAAGTTGTTGGCCAGCTTCTCGATCTTTCATAGGATGGGTTCGACGCTCTACGAATCAACATGTTGATCAGATGCTTGTCATACTGTCGTGGTGGGCAATCAAAAAATTAAAACTCGCCTTTTGCATTGGGTAAAATAAACCGTTTTAATGTTATATTTCAGCATCAATACAAACATACAAATGAAAAGCTCTGGTCTTAAAACAAACTATGCTGAATAGAACAAATTAAAGAAATTGTCGAAATTCTGTTCTTATATACTGTACGAACTCAAACAAGAAAGTGACGGAAAAGTTACAAGCACCAACTCACCTGTCAGCAGGACTCCCTTTTTCGATGTAGCATATGATAAGCGCTGACTGCTCACTTCCGCAGGAGGGCGAATTGCGATGAAGCAACAAACCGTAGCCACCTCGTGACCAGCAGTTCAGCACCACCTCCATTACCTCGCTGCGGCAAACTTGACCACTAGACGAACCGGACACAGTGGCGCTGATGGAACCTAGTAAAGGAAATTGTTTCATGCAACAAAAATCTATTCTTGCTTTAATGATTCATGGTTGAGAACACAAAACAATATCGAAGGTCAAAACTTTTGACTGCATTAGTTTTGTGCCCCATAAGATAATCAACAAGAGAGCTGCAATTTGAACAAAGGACTCAGATTTAAGAAAGGTAAATCATACGGTGCAAGTACACACCGGAATAAAATATACTAAAGTTGTTAAATCTAACATTTTTAATGCATGAACTTAATCTCAAAGGAAGATCGAAATTTCTGCACTCCAAAATGAACTCTAGAATAGTATCATGTACTTGCAGAAACGGAACGTACTGAAAAACTGATTCCGCAATGTATGTTTTAGTCACTCTCAACTTCTGTACCTGTCAAATACAGAAAAACAATATCTCGCTGATTACCAGCAAAATCTCAAAATGAACACAAAAAGAGTGATCAAGAAGATATGGAAATTTAACTGCAAGCGGGAAGTAAATGAAATGGCTAATCCTCCATGGTTATGACCTTTCCCAAAAGCCAGAGAAGCCTACAGCTGGACACAGCATACATCTTTAAAACAGGCAGTAGTCTTTGTAAAAAAGTGCTGTACTGTCATCCCTCAAGGGTAGTAAATAATGGGCATCAACAGAATGTGTTATCGTAAGGATTTTCCTCCTTTGACAATTCTGTTCCTTTGATAGGGCAAAATCAACGGTAATAGAACGTGTCCACAAATTGACAATGGTGGAGCAGCCCTCAGACACATGGATAAATTGTCAAATAAACAAAAAATCTGCCAATAAGCGGCTTACTACATTACACCGTGGCAAAAATCTGTACAGGGCGTGCTGCACAGCGAAAGAGTATTCGAAACGTTCAGCTCAAATTTTGCTTATTAAAAATTTCTTGATTAAATAACGGCTGGCAGATTCATGACCAGATTTCAAGGCGTACTACTGTATCGCACCTTGTTCCCACTTGCAAGGGGATATTTAAGCAAGCCAGCCACGGCTCAATGGAATCTGAGCAACCGTAGTGCCGGACGCATCTGGCATCATCCTGTCTGTTAGAGCCACCTCGTGCTCATTTCAAACGATGTGTCAGAAATGATAGGTTTCCATAGGCCGACTCATAAATATTTTTAAAATTTACTGCTTTGAATGATATTACAAACCATTTGACACTAAACATGTAAACCACTTTTCCATTTGCCACAACAGTAAACATGATGATTTATAAAAGGCAAGACAATACTGTGCTGAATAAGAACAATGCGACCAGATAATGTACTACGGGAAATGTACTAAGACATGATCGAATGGCTCCTGAGGAGACAATGCCTATACTGGCTGTGCTATCATGAGTGCTAAGAGAAATACTAGTAGAAAATGGAACAGATAAATGAAGGACGGCACAGTGCAATCCATATCAGAACTAGTCAATATCTATAACGAAGTTAAGAAAAGTAACGAAGGTAGGAACCTTTGTAACTGCTGGAATATCAGACTTCGTTACATTTTTGTGATGGGGACGTTACTAGCATTCTTCTCATAAAGCTATTGGTGGAGCATTGATCTCCATTCTATGCCATCAGTCAGGAGTGCTGCATTTTTTAAAGGCAGAATAGTCAGCAGCTATGTAACATGCATAGTGGGTAATGTCCTGTCACTTTCAGATAGAGCGGTACTAAACAATCAACCTTGCAAAGAAAACTAACAAGCTGAACTGAACTCTAGACCTCTCGACTGTGAGTCAGTCGCTCCATAAACTAAGCAACCCTGATAAGAAAGTCCATTAGTGACTTCTTTGCTTTGCTACCTCGAAGCAGCTTTCATTTTGACCTGACACTGTTTCATCTGCAAAAATTCCTGCCCATGGAAACTGACTGTTGAGAATGGCACGAAATAATCCGGCTACCTTCCTTCCTTACTAATTGCGGTGTTTTGAAAATTGAATTCGCTAGCGAACATCGTGTAATAAATGAAAAAAGATGCTTGTATTGTGGAACCGGCGTTTAGGGTGCCTCAAAGTAAAACAAATAGAAAGCAAAATTGGCTAATTAAATGATACTGTTCTATACCTGTGTAGTAAACTATTATTGAAGTTATGCGCTTATTTGACTAACAAACACGTTTCTTAAATTAATTATACTGTGCAGAGTCTCATGGCACTGTATGTAACGGTGCTAAAATGAGCGCGGTTCCAACACTGTCGAACTGAGTAACAGTAACTCGGAGAAAACCCCGCATATAGAGGTATTCCGAAAAGCAACTGAAATATTTGTCTTAAATATGTTATTCTTAAAATGCAAACAAAGGAAGTTCTTAAATAAAAAAACTCGATCTTAATGGTTTACTATCATCATATTAGCTATCGATACCGCCGCAAAGAGAACTAACGTTTTCTCTTTTGATACTAGAGTAAAGTGGCGAAATGGGACTGTCCCCTTGCTTCTAGTGGACTAAGGGACGCTTTGCACAAGGGTACTACTAGCATGATGCTAGTAAATCCATAAGACTGGGTTTTATTTTGTGTATAAATAAGCCTACGGATCATGACATATCTGCAGATGTCCAAACATACCTGTGTTCGGCCCTGTCTAGTGATGCAGTTCTGCACCCATGCACTGCAGGTGCTCGAATACCACGAAGCCGTGGCCTGCTTAATGGTCCCCTGGAACATTAGAAGCAAGGGCGGTGCAATTACGCCACTTCAATCCAGCAATAAAATAAAAAATGTAAAGGGAAGTATTGTTAAGCTGATTTTCGAAGTAGAACTCACGAAAAAGATGCTACTTTACTAACTTATCACAATGGAACATTGGTGAGATGATTGTAACTGCTACACAATTACTAATAAACGTTTAGGAACACAGACGAAAGTGAATGAAATGAAAGCGGTAAAATAAACAAATAAAATATAGCTGACTGAAACGAAACAAAAAATAGCGTAAAAATGTAAAACAGCATTCAAAACAATTAGGTTATGCTTTAAAACGTGACAAAAGCTTTGGAACGAAACTATCAAAAGAAAATGACGGTGGCTGAGAAACTTATTTCGACATCTGCGATAATATTAGCTTGAGTTCCGGCAACTGAACTCAAACAGTAAAAAGGAACCTTCCAGATTTGAATACGAGACTCAGACGTAAGAAAATCTTTGAACTTCAGTCGATAGACGAAGTCCGTCGCGATTGGAGCAATGCCAAAAGCGAGAAGAAGCAACGGCTATTTTAAACAAATAGAATTTCGTCGGTCGCTTACTGAGCGTGGCAATTCCGGATATGCCGGAGTAACTGAAGCACAGTCTGAACATCTGGACTGCGACCGAACGTGTCAATCACAGCTATCACAATCGGTACACCCTGGCAGCAAGCCGCAAGGCAAACGCATCAGTCAGCCGGTGGTCTCCGATGCAGCTCCATTCGTTCAAGTCAGAACCGATCAATATTGTCCCTCTATAGCAATATACCCTTACACCGTATCCGACCACTGCGAACCATCTCTTTATATATATGCAAAAGGGCACAACGCCCGTAGATGATGCCTCGGCTGCAACTGAACTCTTCGTGGTCTTTCTGCATCATCATCTACAAGATGCCAAACAACAGCTGGCATTGGCTCTTTGTTAGCACTAACTGCGCTCAGCCGGTTTTTCGCTGCACTCCTGTCGTAGAGTTTTTACGCGTCTCATTCATGATCGCTATCAGCGCTTGAAAACAGTTGTACATCGCGCATCTATCAACAATATATTTGATAGTAATTTCAATGAAGGATCCAGTAAAATTTCAAGCCAGGCAAGCTTACAAACTGCTGCTTTAAAAAGCAGTCAATTTAGTCAATTTGCAAAACCTTTTGTTTAGAGAGGATAGTTTATCATGCAGATCTTATGGTGCCTTTTAAGAATACTGATATCACACGTCTCAGTGAATTAAAAAGGGGATTAACAGGGAGGAAAAAAAATGCTATTCTGATTATTCGAGACACATATCGGCTTCCAAAAGCGCTACTGAACGACTGATGATGAAAGAAATGTGTACGAACAAATACTAATGAGCAACAAAATGACAGGGTAATAATAAGAGAAGCCAGAGTGGAACACATCCCTGATGCTAGAATTAGCGTATCGACGGTGACGTCAAACCCGTTTGACAATGGTGGTAAAGGAACAGTCGCAAGGAAAAAAGGATGCAAGAACTTACTTTAGAAGCCGCCAGAAAGAAAAACCGTGGATACAAAATAATCAGTAGAAGTAGAAAGTGATAAAAAAATTATGACCATAAATTCAACCCAACGGTTTACCGGAATTCATGACGCAATTAAAGGTAGTGTGTTTTTAGGGGCCACATGGTAATAAAGCCGGACAAAATAATAGAGCCACAAGCAACTTTCAGTGTTAATCTCAATGAATTATTCAATGTGATTTCATAATGGTTTCTATATTTTAGAATCTGTGTAAATCAAGCATTGGCCAGTCAGTGTTAAAACTCAGAAACTAAAGAAGAAGAGCTGTAAACTACTTCTAAATTTCTTTAGAACGAGATTAGGTGACCATTCTGCCACTAGTTCCATCAATTAATCCAGCACAAACTATATCGAGCTCGACCATTGGGGAGTGGGTCATGCATTCTTTACATGGTGGCAACTCGTGTAGTAAAAGGGAAAGTCAGACGCTTTGCAAACAAACAGAAACATGAATTGTAAAAGCATAGCAGTAGTGTCAGAAGAGTCGGAA